TGGATCAGGTGTTTGGCATCTGCATGGGCTTTTGTTATGAAAGCTCTTGGCAGTAGAAATAGCATAAGCAAGGGACAGAGGTGAGCAGGACTAATTCCAGCAATGTCACAGAGGCCTGGGCTTGAAGGAGGGCCTTAGAGCAGGAACAAGAGAGAGGCTCAGAAGATAGAGCACAGTTTCTGCACAATCCCTGGCACTCAGACATGAAGAACCAATTCAATGGGGCTGCTGAGGCCCATGTTTTGAGGCTTAATCTGCAGCATGTGGTCGTAGTGGGAGGGGCGGAGACTTGAAGATATGGGGCCTAGTGGGAGGTCTTCAAGTCACTGGGCACATGCCCTCATCATAGAGAAATTCCCAAGTCTCTCCCTCTCCTCCTCCCTCCCTCTCTCTGTCCATCTCTCTACCCCAGAGCCCCAGATAGAGGTGAGTGGTTTTGCTCTTCTCCCAGTCCTGGGGTGATGTGCTGCCATAGGCCAAAGCAACAGGTTCACCAATCACGGAATAAATCCTCCAGAAATGTGAGCTCAATTGACCTTCTCCTCTCTATAACTTGATCATCTCAAATGTCCATTGTAGTACCAGAAAGCTGCTTAATACTGGAAGCAACGGGGTGTGGGGGTCAAGGACTCTGGGCTTCCTTCTCCTCTTCTTCCTTGACTCCTCACACACCATATATAAGCAAATTCTGTCATCTTTTCCTTCAGAAAGGTCTGGACGGCAGACTTCTTGCCCCTCCACTGGTCTGAGCTACAAGGATCCCTTGCTGTGCAGCTACAGAGCACTGAGCTCCCAGGGCTGTCCCTGCCCCTGCCTCCCCTTCCCCTACTGACTATTGCAGTCACCAGACCTTTGTGAAACCTCAGATCATGTCCACACTCTGTTCAACGCCCTCTGAGCACCTCCCATATCCCACAGGATCACAGTCCAAGTCCTTCCAGTGACCACCCCAACCCCACCTCAGGACACCCCCAGCCTCCACCCTGCTTCCCCATTCAGCCTTCACTCCACACACAGGGCCGCCTGCATCAGGGTCTTTGCCTTTGCTGTTCCCTCTGCCAGAAACTCTCCTCCTCCAGTCCTCTTGACAGCTCGCTTCCTCCCCGCCCCCAGAGTTCCACCCCAAGGTCACTGCTCATCAGGCCACCCCTTGATCCTAATGCTTACATTTAAGCCATTGGCTGACTTGGTCCCCATTTCCCAATATCTTTTTCTCTCTTGACTCTGACCATCAGCCAGCACGCTACATGGTTTCTTTACTTTTCTATTACAATCTCCCTCCATCAGAAGGCAGGGAATGTTGTCCGAGTCACTGCCTTATCCCTGTTGCTAAACCATCTCCTACAA